ACCATTTTGTTATCTATATCATGACGTAAAACCTAGTTACTAATTATTTTAAGGGTCTGTTTCATAATAACTGATTACGTTGGAGGTAGGTTAAGAAAAAATACATACGTATGTCGGTTACATTTTTTTTCATACATCGTACGGAAAGTACATCCAATTATCCACAATAATCAGATGTTAACCGGCCTTAACTATTTTATGAACACCGTTAAACTGTCAAACACCGCGAGGACACCGGTGACCGCAACCTATTGTTCTTTAATTGTGTCTATAATGATGGTACTCAGAGTTAATTACTTTTTCTTGTTAACTGGGGGAAACCATCAAAAGGCGCCTAGCTTTTTTGGGGATAACAAACTAAACTTCTCACTAAAACCACCCCAGTGGCCACCATCATTACCTATGGCACCGGGTCCTCTATTAGAACCGCTTCGGAACCCCCGCGGTGAAACGTCTTTAACGGCGCATCACGAGGGAGATGTGCAATCTTCCTTAAGCTTCGCTAACTGCTTACATACTCAACTAGAAAAGTTTAATATGTTGATAAACTTCTAAGAATGATATAATACGTAACAGAATGAATGAATAAAATCTAGAGAGCACACTAGGCCCTAGGCAAGCGCCTCATTTTGGAGCCAAGGGTGCATAGAGTGGGGACTCTAGGTGCCCATCCAGAGGCCTCAGGGAAGACGGTAGCACAGTGGTTACGTGCTGCCATGCAAAGCGATGACCAAGAGACACGCAGATCTTCCTAGGAATGTGCTGTAACAGGCGTTGCTCCGTGGGGGCTCCGGAGTAGGTCTCTTCAGAGGACCCGATGCTCCTTACAGGATGTTACAGAAGGGGTGGTTTTAGTGAGGTACGTATCCCACACTCCTTAGTCTTTCTCCCCAAAAAGCTAGGCACCTTTTAACCCGTGAACAAAAAAAAGGCAAGCACATCATAGGCGCTCCTAATTTTTGTTTTGATGCTGCCGCTTTATAGGCAGCAGGGCACGTGCATCCTGCGGCGCCTCTCTGCAACCTTTTTTTTCTCTGTCGTTTCGCTCTTGGCAGAGCGGTCGTGGTCACGTTGAGGCGGCCGTATTCGTGTTGGTGGCCGATACAGCTTTCCTCTCCCCCAAATCTCTCTCTGTTTGTGGATTGTCTGGCGCAGTCTGACACTGGGTTTGCAACCTGGTGCTCTAGATACTTGCCTAGTTTACCTTAGGGATGATACGGCTCTGACTGCACCTGTGAATAACTTATAAGATATTAACTTTCTATAAGTATTATTGATTGATTGTTGAAGTTTTTTAATACATTCCATCCCAATGGAACCAAATCGATGCCCAAGCAAAGTTAGTACCTACCTACATAATATTTTATATCAAAGCCTACGTAGGCAAAGTTAGCACTAGTTTATAATAGTTTTGAGAATGGATTTTGTTGCTCTTTCACTCAAAACTGAATAACAGATTTAAATGAATACCTTCACTATTTATGATTTTCAGAATATCTTCGTGGTTTACAGTTCATATCTTCAACGACGGACAGTCTGATGAACAATTCAATTTTGACGCTTCAAGTTTCTGCAGTGGTTTAAGTGAAATAAATCCTTTTACTTTGATATCAACACTCAAAGCCACATAGAGTTTTAGATTTAAGAAAACATTCTCTTGGCTGCTCACAAACCTTATACAATTCTCATTCTTGTTGTGTTTTAAATACTGATGTAATTTTTTTTATGGCTTAAGCTGGTAAACGAGCAGACGGATGGTTGGGCATTCGAAAGATTGGGAAGGGAAGGTAATTGGGCCTTCGGTAACCTCACTCACAAGACGTAACACAATGCAAGCGTTGTTTCACGTCGGTCTTCTGTAAGGCCGTGGTATCACTTCAGTCGAGCCGGCCCATTCGTGCCGAAGCATGGCTCTCCCACAATATCTGGTTATTCTTTAAATACTAATGTTCCTAAGTCGAAAGTTCACATTAAATACGAGTTAAATAAAGACTATTTTGTCAACGTGCTTTGGTAACACATTAAGAGAATCTCTTTCAAAATAACCCGACTGCAATTTTCTGTCTGGACCATAAAGTTCTTTACATTATAGACACTCTAGTTCTTACAGACAAATCTATTTATAGCCTGGATTAACAAGTCTGTCTAAGGATGCAACTGCAATAGATCCCGCACTTATACTATTTATGTGGAAGGCCGGTGCAATATCCACTTACTAAGATTTTTATTAATAAATTAGGTGACATGCGCGCGGCGCGAAATTGCCTCTGTGACACACGCGCTGTTAAATTGATCAACAAAATTATGTTCCCTCAAGATGTTTTGGTGAGCAAATTGCTGTAGAAAGAGACAGAATGAATTCCAGGACTAAAAGAAAGTGGTGATATATTTTGAACTTGTCCTTCTTATATTCTCGTTCAAAGAATGGTCTGGAGACTCTGGAAAAAAAAAGGGATCACTATAAACTTTTTGCAAAGATTATTTACAGAAATCATCGATGGTAAAAAATGTATAAAAATATCTCTCTATTTCTACTTTTTGGATAAAAAGGTCTTTACACTACAGTACAAATAATGCAATTAAAGCAGGCTTTGACCTTGAAACCGAAAGTCAAGACCTTACCCGACCACCGCCTACTAGATTACAAAAATAAACATATCACCAGCCATCAAAAGTAATTACTCAAAGATATGACTACAACAAATATCTAAATAAACACTTGCAATGTACGAAAGAAACAAGAAAGTACAAGTTTATCTTAGATCAGTACGGATAGCGCCAAATATCTGCATCGTCAATCGTATGCATATAAAATTATCAACTCGAATTATAAATAATTGAACGTGTTCCGAACTTGTATGCTTCTAGTATCGCTAATCCTCATTTATTTGCATTCAGTGTGATTTCTTATCATTCTCATTATCCCTTGTACTGCATGTAGGTTTTTTTCAATAAAACGTGTTCTCTCTTGTTTATACTTAATTTTGACAAGTTTTTACCCCTCGTTTTCTGTTTGCACCGCATAATGGGTGTGTAGCCAATTTATGACGTCACTGATATCACTTTCTTGATGGATAGTGCCTCAGTACTTTGAGGAACAACTGCCTGTCAGAGAGGTTGGATCTTGCCCCCACCTGTTATTAATTTTATCTTAAAAGGAATTAAGCAGTTCTTTGAGTCTACTGCCAATCACTTGATGCTATTCCAAATCCTTTTCTGGTGTATGTCTCAATAAAGTCTTTCAACTATGTATCATCAAACTTACGCATAATTTTGTAAACAAGATTTTTTAGGACTTCATACATTTAACTTTGCCGCACTTTGTAAATAAATTAAGTAATGTGTTATCAACCTCATGTTCTATGTTCACAGATTAAGTAAAATACATATAAAAAGGGAAATGGGCGCGGACATTTTTAAGATAAAACTTGATAAGTCCAGCGTGTGATACAATCAATGTCCATTTGCAAATCTTGATTGTTTTTATTTAACACCAGTTTCTGGTTTCAATTAATGAGAACAATTCTATATTTAGATTAATTACATAATTACTTAGTATTGTATATTGATATCGTCTTAGTAATATTCTTGGTATAAAATTAAGCATTAATAAGATAAAATAATTAGGCTTAAGTAGGTAGTTGTTTATCATAATATGATACGATAGTATTATATTTTTAATAGCTCATTACACCTATTAGTTTTCTATGTCTAATATGGTCAGTACATAGAAGATTTAAATAAAAAAAAAACAATTTATTTTCCTTGCGTCTGAAAAGCTCTATCAACCGATAATTTTTATCAACGTTTCCTGCTTTGTAAACTAAAAATATGAAACAACATCCGACACAAAAAACATCAATAACCTCTCGAGTGTCCTTATGAGCACCCGGTGGATCATAAGAAAAAATGCTCCATGCTGCTTTCTCTTTTATAAAATCTATTATTAATGCTTTGTTTTTATTTTGACTGTATTTTTTATTTCTATTGTAATGATCCTTGTTTTCGTTACAATGGCCAATTATATGCATTTTCTTTCTTTCTCCAAATGTCACGTGTGTACCCGTTGTATCATAAGGAACGGGAACGCTTGACGGGATAAAGGAAATTAAAGCATCTCTATTAATTTGTTTTAATCACAACAATTTTTATAAACTTGTAATCTTAATTTCAATCATTTTCAAAAACGTACCTAAAGTATTGCTATCGATCGATCCATTCAACTGTAGATTGCAATGATTGCATTATTATTTATAACAAGAAAAAACGAGAAATGACATGTCTTTTCCCACTTATATTTATTTATTTATTTTTATTCTTCTGCACAAGGTATAGCTGCCAGTCTACCATAGGGTGGTACATAGTACCATAATACATAGTACTTATGTTCCCAAAATTATTAATATGTGACTAGTTATTGTAGGTATCTGTAGAAGTCTGCTTTGCATTGACCATATTACGTAATTTATGTATACACGGCACACAAAAAGAAATCTCAACAAAAAAGCAGAAAAATAAAAAAAACATTAGCAAAAGCAATAAAAAGGACCTCATTCACCAGTAAGCAACTGGACTTGGAACTCATTGATATCACCTTAAACATTTCCACATGTTCAACGTAATATCAAAATTTCTCACCGCGCATGCTCTGTGTTGACCAACCAGTGCCCCGGCACGCGCCACGGTGACAATTGGCCATCGCACCTGACCGTATGTCACGAACACGGTACCTATTTATCACTCGGAACTTTAGTACGACCGTCTCTTAGTACCAGCGGGACGACGTACGCTGCAACCGGCCGATAAAAAAATTAAAAAACAAGGCAAAATGTATAAAACGTTTTGGTATACCAATATCCATATTAGTCTCGTGTCGTGGGTGTCACAGTGAACATATAATAATAATTACTCAATAATAAATAATTCAATTAATATTTCGCGTAAATAAATAAACAATAAGTGGTATAAATTAAAAAAAGTTTTGACATAAATTTAAAAAAATGTTCGCGATCTTAGTATTGTTTGTGGTCAGTTTTGCAGGTGGGTTTCCTTATTTTTTTCTCTTTGAAGTGTTATTAAAACTTCGTGTTTATTTTTCAAATATTTTATAAAAAAGTTTCTTTTAAATACAATTTCATTCTAACAGTTTAATTATAAAGTACATCTAACTAAATAAATGTCTCACGCAACAAAAATATTAACGTTCCTTTTCAGCTGATTCTAATGAGTAAAGTTTACTTAATTAATGCTTTAAGTTTAACCTAGTTTAGAGTTAATTTCAAAAAGAAAATTATTAATGGGACGATGGAAATATATACTTATTAAAAGCTTTTTGATTTTTCATTAGTTTAGAACAAAATAGTTGTGCGTCAAATTACTGTTTTTGAATTTTGTAAATACTTATAAACAAAACGTTGCGGATTTTTTTCAGTCCTTGATTAATATTTACCTTCTTTGATTGAAATATCTTTCAAATATTTAATTTACTGTTATGCATAGGTAGGTAAATTAAAATACTGTACAGAAGTTACTATCGCAAAGTAGTTTCATAATATTGACATAATGTTTCCCGCCATATTTTATGTCAACTATTTTTTTAATTATCTTTGGCGTAGATAAATGAATGAATGTAATCTAATAAAAATATTTGTTTGTTTCAGATGTAACTCTGCAGGCAGAATGGACCTACAGTCGTAAGTATTTTTTTATTAGACAAATTTTTATTTAAGTTTTTTAAATTGTTCGAGAATAGATTTTGTGCTAAACAAAAAAATCGATGTCATATAATTATAAGAAATACGAAACTTAGTTAAAATTTAATATTTAAAACAGTTTGTGAAACTATGCAACAATAGTATGAATGCGAAATAATGTCATATTTTGATTGAATTTTTATTTAAATCAAGTTAGCATTCTGAAATATTTGTATTTAATTAAAATACTAATGAGATTTAAACAAAGTGCAAAAAGTATCTATTTAAAAAAAATAACGTCGTGCGAAATAAAAATTAGAAAATTCAGATTACTCACGTAGGTAACATAGTTCAATGCACTCGCTTGGTTTCAGACTATCGGTGGGACTCATAATTATTAAAAACACACGGAGATATCATGCATTGCCATTGTTTGAAGTACTTACCTATTAATTTAATGTGTTACAATCGAAAGTTATTCAATAAACAAAAAATAACTTATTTTCCGTGGTGACTTTTCTTTTTTAAATAAAAGTTATATTTGAAGTAACGGCGATGACGTAATACTTTTTTTTTATATGTTAGGCATGGCGAGTGAAAAGCCAGGGAAATGTTAAACAAAATTAATTAGTGATAAATCAATCACAATTTCATCAAGTGTTTATCAAAATACTTCAATGATCATAGAAATTGATAATTTAAAGTGATTTATCATTAAGTGATCTTATGGCTAGACTTAAGAACATACTTACCTATTATTGTAAACATTCAGAACGTGGTAACTAAATATAAAGTTCCAATTTTGACACATAATTAAAAAAATGTTACATTTTAAAATTATGTTGTACTTCCTCAAATAAGTTTTAGATTTATTACAACACGATAATTTCCGTTTACATTTCCCGTATCCCTAAATTTTAAGGAACGCCTAAACTAAAAGCTACGGTATGACATCTTAACTTAGCCATGTCTTAGTTAGGTTAGGCATATTTCGCCGCTTAGGCGTTCCTAAAAATGTAACGCCATACATACAACATATAGGTAACTACAATTTGATTTTCACCGACCTATAAGGGACACCTAACGGTAGAAGGAAGAACGGTTTTTTTTTCTTTTAGAGATTGTTTTGGGATACTTGGTGAAAACGGTCGTAATATAAATATACGGCTGTAATATATAAACGGCCGTTTTTCGAATCCAGCGTAACTTATTAATATTGACCCTCCACCGTACTAAGAGTTGTTCTATGCTACTTTCTTTGAAAGAGGAGAATCATCCGATGACTCTCCCGCCTTGAGTAAGGCGCGAGAGATTCATACTCTTACTGACTAAAAACCACGCCGATCCTACTCCTGCTTTGATCCTGCTGATGCCGATACGGAGCCGCGGAAGACTTAACGGGTAACCGGGGCTCCGGCTCGAAGTGCAGGAGAAGGAACGGGGTGGTTTTTAGTCAGTAAGAGTCTGACACTCCCTCCCGCCTCACCCGGGCGGGAGAAATCATTGAATGATTTTCCCCCCTCAAAAAAAAAGGTAACGCATGCATATCAAGCATCTATCAACAATATTCTTTCATATTGCCTTGCCTATCCCCTTAGGGATTTACATTTACGGTGTCACATGTAGGTACTTCACAAACTTATCAGTCTTCCAATGACTATAACAACTCCTCAAATAGTTACAAGTGCTTTAATAAGTAATGAAATAGGCACACTTGAGTGAACACACCTATTTATATTGGTGTAACAGACAGATTAGTCACTACTAGTAACAATTAGCGTACCTAAATGAGATCTAGGTATCTAGGAATGTCGCGCAGAACCTAACGGGTAACCGGGGCTCCGGCTCGACGTGTAGAAGAAGGAACGGGGTGGTTTTTAGTCAGTAAGAAGCTGACACTCCCTTCCGCCTCACCCAGGCGGGAGCAATCATTCGATGATTTTACCCCTTAAAAAAAAGGGTATCTAGGAATGAAACTATTAAAATATGCCTAAAACTTATATAGGTCAATTAAATTTGCTTAAAACGGAGTTTATAATATAATGCTGCGGTTTCTATATAAATCAGTTCAAGTTCATGGAAAGTACTAAACAGATTTTAATGAAATACGGAACTGGAATATGAGTCTATTAAAAAGTAAGCTAAACTTTTGTATAAGTATCTTTTTCACGGACTTTAAAAATTGAGAGAAATTTTCAGTTCGATTTGGTTGTATGTTTGATAGTCTGTCATTATCTCGCGATTGGTAGAACCGATTTTGATGGAAACATTATAAGTTTCTCTAAACTCTTTCTCTAAATGCATAAATAATTTTTTAGACCTTAGCCATTGGGTAAGAATACCAAGTTTAATTAAAATCGATTTCACAGTTTCCATGAACTTAGACTTGAAAGTTTGTATTAAGTTTGTTTAATTTGTATTAACCTGCAAATGTCACAAAATTATCCGCATTAGGTATTAGCGCATCGCAAGCGAACGAATTACCTTGAATAGTTTTCTGTCGGTAGTCAATAAAACACGTTACTTATTTAACTTTGGGACTCATAATATAACTAACGACAAGTACACACGGCTATACATCGAGCTTTACATAACCAGTATAAACTGAACGTTAAATGTGCGGAAAGATGATGCGACGCGACACCAGGATAAACTGGTTTTGTATAGATTGATGTGTGGCCGTGTGTACATTTGAGACATACTTCTCTACTTATACTGACACGCAAGCAATGTTATGTTATATTCCTTAACACAATTTTCAATATTTATGAACTAACAAGTAGGTACTTACACGCATATTGTCTAGGAAAGTATTAAGAGTATAATTATCTTGATCAGCATTCAAAGCACCTAATAATATAACACAAACTGGTTTTAATCTTGGTCGCCAATATTATTCATAATAGTCATAAAGGATAGTACCTACTCTGTAGCCACATGTACCTCTATACAGGCGAGTGCAAATATAGTTACGGTTTTTGTTTTGTTCTTTACTCTCATCCAGTTCAAAGGGACGATAACCCAATATTCAATCGTACATGCCTATACTAGATTGACTGTTCGCTGGTCCCGCTTTTATATCATCATCATATATCGACTGAACATAGGCCTTCCCCAATGACTTCAAAATAGGCCGGTTGGAAGCCACCGGCATCCAGCTATAATAAGCAAATTAAAATACCTCTTTCGACCTTATTTAACTTGATTTGATACAATTCGACCAGAATTAACATGCTCATTAAAAAATATGCATTTTTAATCACAAATTCTTTTCAGTAATTATTCAAAAATAATCAAAAACGTCTGGTTGATTATCTGAACAGATTATTAAACTCATCAATTAAATTTGCAACAAGAAGATAAATAAAGAAAATACCTACTTATAAAACGACATTTAAGTTTTTATCATAATCGAATAATCTTTTTAAATAATTGTAGGAGAGATTAACTTTTGCGAAAAAGATTAGCAGCTGAAATTAGTAAGCAAGCTAAACCCAAAATCTGTGGATTAGCATTAATTTTTAATTACCTACTTCTGTATTAATCGATAGAACCTATATATTCGGCTATAGTCACTAAATAAAATCTTCTTTCTCGCAGAACAAACCGCTTGGCCAGGAGTATGCAACGCTGGTCTGGGCCAATCTCCAATCAACATCATGACCCAGGAAGCGATAGTGGACAAGCACCATGCCCACATCCGAGGCCCTCTGATTTTCCGAGGCTACAATGATGTGCCGCTGTACGGATCCAATAATGGGCATACAGGTTGGTACTAAATTCTGTTAAATCTTCCACAGCATTCGATTTATTTCAAAGGATTTAAGTGTGGGAGAGCCATGCTTCGGCACGAATGCGCCGGCTCGACTGGAGTGATACCACGGCCTCACAGAAAACCGACGTGAAGCATCGCTTGCGTTGTGTTTCGTCGTGTGAGTGAGGTTACCGGAGGCCTAATACCCTCCCCTTCCCCAATCTCCCCAATCCCTGAATCCCCAACGATCCTCAAACTCCTAATCCCCAAAAGGCTATTAACGCACTTGTAACGCCCCTGGTGTTACAATGGGCGACGCCGATTGCTTACTATCAGGTGATCCGTCTGCTCGTTTACCGGCTTATGCCATAAAAAAAGGATTAAATAGAGTTTCAAATTGAGCTGTTATATGGGTAAACTAATTAGTTAAAATAATAGACTAAGTTCTAGACTTCGTGCTTACATCTGAGTACTAAGATTATATTTGACTCAAAGTTCGATCCTGAACTTTAACATTAACCGATAGTACAACCCAATGAGGCATCTGGAAAATACGAAATTAATATACTTAAGCTCTTTAGTAAAATGTGTGTGACATCCAGATGTTAGAATACTTAAAGAGAAAAATGTAGGGAAGTGTAGGAAATGGGGAAAGGAAATTAAATGGAAATGAAGTTCCGTTACAGTTAGAACACTTATAGCTATGGTGTGGGTGTCTTTTATGGTGTATGTCACTTGACATGAGTTTAATTAGAGGTCTATATGCGTGGGTCATCCTAAAAATGCTCAGTAGCCAATTGAATCAAACCTGAAATTGGCCCAGGTTTAATAGAGTTTCACAGCAAGTTCCTTCAATAAAAAACACCGTTTGCAATTTGGAGCACACTATAAAACTATGTTTCTCTTTCAGTGAAATGGTCTGGAGTGGCTGACGGACCAGCACCAATTCTGGCTGGTGGTCCTCTCAGGGGCAACTACACCTTCCTGCAGTTCCACTTCCACTGGCTTTCAGAACACGCCATCGATGGAATGAAGTAAGTTCAGTCTCCTATATATGACAGATGTTAAAATTGGGATGATGGCAGGGTATGAAAATTAAAAATCTAATTAATCCGTAAGTTAGGTAATGAAAAAATATTAGACACGTATTTTTTTATTTTGTCGTATAATAAAACAGTACTTAGATAAAACTAATCAAAGTTTAGGAGTGGGGTCTAAAACGTCATTTCTACGTATAGAATGTACATAGAAGTGACGTCACGCGACATTCCAAATCAATATATCGTCGAAAGTATTCGTTTCTGTAAGAACATAAAAAAAAACGTGTATAATGATTTAAAATAATCTACCAGACGGGCATTAAAATAAAAATTAGGCAACTACCCTATTGAAGAGGTGTCTTTCACGGGTTAATCGAACAAACCAGTAAGCTATACTTACATTCAAGTAAGACTTGCATAAATTTTCGATAGTTGTTAATTAGGTACTAGAAAATTAAACAAATAACTCCATCAATATTTTCATTAACCATCCGATTCATAAAAATACGAATAATTAAAGTCTACAATTTTGTGAATGAAAACAATACGTACAAAAAAGTATTGCAAGCTTTGAAAACGTATAGTATTGCCATAAGCGAAAGCTAAGCAACAACTCTTTTCATCATGCTATCTTTTCACGGATCTTTCAGCTGTAAAAGCGTGACCTTTACCCTTTCAGCTTTTCAGTCCGAGTCCCTTTTCTCTCTTAACGAGGCTAGCTACGTGACTCTGCATATTGACAGTAGTTGGGGGCCTACTACAATTTTCCGAAACGAATTTTCGTTTGACATTCAGCTTCTAATATAAACCCTTAGGGATATATATCCCTAAGCGGTCACCGGTGACCGCTCTCCACAAACTACATTATAGACTTTATTTCCAATGTTTAGAGACAACTTTTGTATGAACAAATTTAGGGGATGAATTTCAACGGGTTAATGTATGTCAACTAGCACACAAAACTAGCACACAAAATAATTTCTGACTCTATTTTCTAACTTTCAAACTCACATGAAAAATTCTGACCCATAGAGAGTTTTCGTAAAGTACCTATTGTCACGAAAATATTACGAATGGAATGGAAAACTTAGGTAGGTATAATGTGTGGTATTTTATTCGTTCGATAACGTAATTTCGTTTCGGAAAATTGTAGTAGACCTCCAGTTTTTAGCAACGTTAACTTTACACAACGGTTATCCAACAAAACTGTTGTTCAGCAAAACGTTATTTGTGTTTACAAAAGCTGTGGGTTTTATTATTTGTTTGTATTGCAATTTTATTAGGTAGTTATTTTATTTATAATCAGTTGGGGTGTCGCTTATCGATTCTTGAGTCCAAAAGATTTGACTTTTTTTTCAAATAAGGTCCATCCCTTTTCTTTTACAAAGTACTTTTACATTCAGTTTTATCAAAGTTTATACATTAATTGACGTTTCGACTTTAAATAAATTGAATACTTTTTAATTTAGATGTCTAATCCTAATAATCCGTGCTAAAAATAAATACTACTTACGTATTATTCAATGATTAATTATTTATGAAAGTGCGTTGCACCTGCGTCAACCATTTCAGAGTATCTCAGAAACCTTGATATTGTGATAAAGATATAATTGTGTAATCATTAGTAGGCTGTTCATAAATTGTTATCATAATTATGACACATTTAAGATTATTAGGCCTAGGTACTTAAAGTTTTTAAAAATCTCTTTCAAATTTGTAATAGATTGATTCAAAAAAATAGATACAATTTTTCGATTTTGAAAGTATTTTTTTTCACTTACATCATACTTTGTCACGGGCGAGGACTCGAACATGGGGACGTTAACCGCCACGTAGGTCATCGGCGGCCTTGCCTTCAACAGTTTTCTGTAGCAGTCAGAGGCTCAAATATTTTGCAAAATAAATACAGACGCATTACAGGTCGTATGGAATGTTCTTGAACAAATCATCACAGAAATGTTCAAAAAAGTTTTAATCTTAAACAAACGATATAGTGCGATATTATGTCACGTAGATAAGCGGGCATCAGCAGAGTTTGTTCAGACATTACCTGTGTTTTTAGAAACCTGTGAGTGGCATTTATTTGTCCACTAATCTCAAAAACTGGTGTCGGCAAGATTGTTTAACTTGAAACAATTTGTTTGCGCACGTGGACTTTCATGAGATAAGAATTTCGGATAGAATTTTCCTTCTCTTTATCCCAAAAGAAGATCTCAAGAGGAAAGAAAGTTTAAAAGTTTCATATTATCTTTTTACACAGTAGTAAAGACCCTGAGATAAAAAGAGAGTAATTATTATCAATTAAATAAAACAAACGAGCTACTTGTTTAATGACATGATTTTACAGTACCATCGTAAATGGTATTTGTTTAGTCTGTTGACTAGTCAAAACATTACATCAGTCAGGTCGTTATTTGAGAAAATAGTATATACTCAAATGCTCATTATTCAATATTATTATTAAAATGCCTAGTTTTCATAATCGTCACAAAATTACTTTTATTTCCAAATTTTCTTCGCCTTCGTTAAGATTACGACTGTCTGTATATTCTCGCAAGTTCATTAAATGTACACATTTTAATAAAAGTATTCTTCCTCAGGTACCCTCTGGAAGTCCACATGGTGCACATTAAGACTGGGCTGACCCTCGACGAGGCTCTGGCTCGAGCTGATGGATTAGCAGTCATTGGAGTTTTCTTTTTGGTAAGCAGTGCCTTATCGTTCTTAGGTAGAACCTAAGTAGTAGTCAATTAAGGAACAATTACATTTTTTAAAAATTTTCAAAACTCCTATAGACGCAAATCTATCTAAGTTCCTACGACAACTAAATTCTTATGTCGAGACTAGTTTTAAAGAGTAAATCTTTCGAAGAGAATAGAAATGTTTAAGGTTTCTTCAGGGACCTTTGAGATTTTGTAAAAAATGAACTAAACCCATTACTAAAATTTGCAGTTCGATGAAAAACTAAACTTCTAACCCTATCATCTTCTCCATAGATGCACAGAGGATACGGCAGTGACCGTGCTTTGGAGGAAATCATTCCAATGATGCCCTACATTGTGAACAGCTCCCAGAACAACACTGAGCCACGAAGAATAGACATCACGTAAGTGAAGGATTTCTAACTAACGAACAACAGATTTGTGAACATAGATACTGAGACTTTCTAAGGAATAGATAACTCAATGAGCTTTGACTAAACCAATAAATTGAATAATAGAAAATATGGACTAGAACTAGTTACAGCTAGTATACAAAATAGGTTAGTTCTTACAACTGAATTAGACGCAGATGAAGATTGACACACAATTGCTAGAACTGATTCACTTAAGTGCTACTGGATTTTTCCGTTTATGTCTAAAATAAACAATTATAGATACTTAAACCTCATTTAATATTAGTTAAACTAGGATTGCGGCTGCTACTTGACTAGAATACCAAATGTAGATACCTACTCCAATATTTTACTCAAATTTAACGCTAAAATCCGTGACAAATGTCCAACATCAACAAATCAACAACACCCATCACCCCTCGTGATTCTATTTACACAATGACTCAAAACTATAAACACCAACTTAATTAGCCATTCAAAATTAAAGAAAAATGCGGAAATATAGTGAACATAATACAAGTAGATACAAAATAGGTATTAGACTATGTTATGGTCAAGGGACGGAAGAGAATAGTGGAACGAATGCTTAGGGCGTAAAACAATAGCAGGTAGTTTTAGTCGCGCTTGAAGATTACATGAATCAGGTAAACTCAGGAGAATTCCAATGACCTTCGGAATTTCATTTAAAGAGGTCACGTAGTCAGCAGATCTAATTTGACGAAGAGATACGTCCAAGGAGATAGTGTAGTGGAATTGTAAAGGGTACCGTAATAGTATGATGTTAATGTTGCGAATAAATGTGAAGTCAATAAGTCCATTGAAATGATAACTATGTAAGGTAAATGTGACGGGCTGGCCAATTTCTAAAATGGTGCAGAAAATATGGCTTTAAGTGAATCTAAAAACCTACACATTAAATCATTCCCAAAGCTTAACTAAAATCCAAAATATACCACAATTTATTAGATCCTATTCCTCATTTACTTGTTTCTAATACAAATGTTTCTTTGTCCAACAGGCGTCTGTTGAGCAATGAGCCCCAGTCCTACTACACGTACCATGGCTCTCTCACTACCCCCATGTGCCAGGAAGTCGTCACCTGGATCGTCATGGACAAACCAATCTACATTTCTCCTGACCAGGTAAGGATTTTGAAACAAACATCATTATAGATACAACCATTTTACTTATTAAAGATTTTTCTAGGAATCGTTTTCGAAATTCAAAGTTAAATCATAAATTATTTCGATTTTACTAAAAAAGCAATTTGGCCGTCAAAATAATTGGTTCAAATTCATCAGTTGCTTTTGCTTTATAATATCCACTTTAAATAAACATTTCAAAAGCCCTAAGGTACTTTTAAGAATGAAATACCATTTCCCTTTTAACACATACTTTTCTCTTTGTCCTCTAGTACGCACTATTCACCAAGGTCGATGTAGGCGGAGACTACAACTACCGTAGCCTTCAACCGAAGAACAACAGAGTGGTATACCGCTCCATAGCCTCCTGTGCCTCCATCATAGCCCCCACCCTCCCAGGAACCCTCATCAGCCTCTTCTCCTGCCTCTCCACCTCCCTTGCTGCGGGAGTCAACAAGGGCGTTGGAGCATTCTTGAACATCAAACGGAAACTTTTCGGAGCTCCTGCCAAAAATTGCGTAAAAGCTAAATAATTATGGTGTTATATAATTTCATCTAAAGGATTCAAATGTACATGTGCTAGAATTTGTTGTTTAAGAGTGCTTAAAGATTAAGGCATATAGACCAATATCTAATGGTCGTCCATTATAATATGGTCTATATACTTGTAGTTGTTACTACGAATCCGTAGCGACATCTACAAGACCCATAGCACTTTAAACGCTTGGAGCGCCACCTAGGAAGTGCAAAAACGTTCCTTAGTTGCCAAAAGAACGTTAGTTTATTTATTAAACTGCCCAACTAAGTAAGTAGAAGTAGTGTCGAGGAGTGGAAGATGAAGCGAACTTCTGAAGTTAACTGTTATCTATTTGTAAAAGTGCCATAAGTCTATAGTGATGAGAAGTTTCGCCATCTTGCAGAACATTTTTGGGCTATATAGAAATAGCTATATAATTTTTTTTTCTAAGTAAAATCGTTTAACACTTTAATTCCAATCGAGAGGATAAAGAATAATTATCTGCAAATTGTAGGCTTCTTATAAAATGTAATCATTATTGTCGATCAGTGATAGTAGGTACTAAAAAACCGAAGATAATGCTAAGTAGAGGAGATTTAAAATAGCAGAATGTAATCTCAAACCTAATCGACTGCAGAGAAATACTTGCTATCAAAACCTTATCACTGATTTCTAGTCATCAACAATATAGATTACATAATCTTGCTTACTAAATGTACTGGTTCACTAAAATAGCACGCTTTAAGGTGTTCTATTGGTTCTATTGAGCATGCTCAAAAATGTTCAAAATTCGAACGTCTGTCGATTCGCAAGCATGCCCGAATTGAGCATGCTTTTGTTTTGAGTAACATTCTGACACATATGCTACTAAGTGGCATGTGCTCAACTGAAGCATGCTTTAAATTAGTAATTGTGTAACAGTATCTTAATGCACGTGTCGATTAAAATCTTAAAACATAGATATGTATGTTTCTAAGATAATTCTTTTCGATTATAATGTAATTAGTTCTGGATTATAATAGTTATAGTTCCGCGTTATAGCATGATTTTAAACAGTCCTTGATTTAGACTGCTTCTATCTATTTGAATGTGAAATTGGCGTAGTGTGTGTCGCGAAATATTATATTGATTTGAACCGTAAATCTTAGAGTAAAGATAAAGTAAAGTTGTGATAAAATATGAACATTAAACTGTCAAACACCAAGCGGTCACCGGTGACCGCGACCTATTGTTCTTTAATTGTGTCTATAAAACCGGTACTCGACGAGTTAATTAGGCAAAAACATGTATCAAAAACTTTACAAACAGCGCCTGAAACTTCATTTGACCTAATAGAATAGAAAGCCAAAGGGATTCTTTAGGATTTATGACCCAATAACTAAATAAGTTAAGATCGATTTTAGAATACCACAACTCGATTTACCACGTGCATATAACTATGAACTTCATCAAAAAAGTATATTGAATCATAAATCAAGATTACTGCTAATAAGATAGTATCAAATAAATACAAAACACGTGCGATTTCATTAAAAAAGTAATGACGAAAATATTTGATAACATTGTGTTAATTAATCATCAGAATTGATCTAGTAAAATTAGGAATAATAGCTTGTTGACTAATTGACCTAGATGCTGATGTTTTTGATTTTAAAAACTATAGAAGAACTGTAATTTTAAAAATCAAGCTATCATAATACATTTTTTTAATATATTTTCAACTAGCGACCCGCCCTGGCTTCGCACGGGTACAATATGCATGTATTATACATATAAACCTTCCTAAAGAGTTACTCTACCTATTAAAAAAGATCTAAGCATATATATGGACAGACAGACGGCGTATAGCGAGTTTGTTTTATACTATGTATGTAGTGATTTTGAAAAAATGCTTAATTTGAAGTAAAGCTGAGAATAATGATATTTGAACTTCAATTTTAATGAAATCGCACTTAGAGGTTTAGGTACAAACTAGATATAATAAAAAATGTAAATATGTTATTAGTTATTATAGAAACCTTTATTTATTATTATTTATTTCCAAAATATGGTCACGATATAATACGTGACACCTGCTCAAAGTCACAATCTTTTGTTAGATAAATCTTTATCAGATTATTATATCTCTATTATAATAATTATTATTATTATCGACGACTATAGGATTATGATAATGTAATAAAACATTAATATATTCATAAATATGATTTATTAATGTATAATTTTTATTAAGTGTGTGTGACGTATTTAATCTTAATGTAAGATAATTTAATTGTATTCTGTTCCTTTGTACATATCGGTAATATAATTGAACATTTAAATTAATTTATTATTTTATGTCATTTAAATTATCATTTTTTTTAGATATTATTGTTTAAATGTTCTATTATTAATAGTAATAAATTGGCTGTGAAATGAACGATTGTAAATGAGTGTGTGATTAATTATTTAAGAAACTATTTAAATGAAAAATGTACAGTATAATATTATTGAATGCTCTATTAAAAATAGATAAAAATAAAAACGTAATATTACAACTTCATATAGTTTATTATTTTCACTGTCCTTTAAGTATATCCTTTCAAATTTTAATTATTATTTTAATAAAATGTAAAATAACTCTGAAGAATAGTAACTTATAATAATTTTGTTAACTTGAAACTTAACTTAAACATAAAATTACATCTTTATAAGAATAAACCTTAGGTACATATTTGTGCCAAGCCAAAAGGCAGTCAGAATTTAAATAAATTAAATATGTGTTATGTTTAAAATGATAACAATATACATCGAAATTGTTTCACAACTTTGGTACGTAACTTACATTGTTGATAAAACCTAAAAACAGCAAACTCTTTAACATCAGAAATCTACAAAAAAAAACATAAAAAACTGTGCATCACCTGTTAAACACAACAAACAAATCGACAATTCAATCAAATAGTCATTAATCACCACTATCGGTAAAGGCATCATGTCTAAATTATCGATAATTATGCCGCATTATTTATTTTACTTTTGTAGTCTACAGTCATCATGATCTTACCAATATCTTATCTCTGAAGGACATCTGTTAAGTTGTTCTTTATCAAACTTCTGTAGATAAGTGCTCGTATTATGTAATAATCAGATTAATTCGGTAAGCTCTAAAGTAAGCTTTTTTTTTAAAGGCCGGCAACGCACCTGTGACTCCTCTGGTGTTGCGGGTGTCCATTGGCGACGCTGATTGCTTACCATCAGGTCATCCTAAAACAGCTTGCTAATTTAACAAGCTTTAACCTCGGTGTATGAGACACAATAGAATATTTGTTGTGTCTCACGTTCCGGCATCATCATGAACAGCCTACAAATGCCCACTGCTGAGCAAAGCCTCTTCTCAGGTTTGAGCATTAATCTCCATGCTACGGGTTGGCGATTACAAACTTATAATTAGAAATTATAAACCTAGGTTTTCTCACGATGTTTTCCTTCACCTTCAGTGATGTCTAAAAAATCTTAGAAAGTACATATGACTCGGATAAAGTCACATTGGTTGGTAGGTTTAGAAAGTGCGGCATCGCAAAAATGTGCGAGCTCCCTCTACGCATCGCAAGAAATTGCGAATTGATTCGACCAAAATCTTATCTTCCCAAAATCTTCTTTGTTTCTTTTTCCTGTATCTCCTAAATAATACCTGAAGTGCACACTTCTTTTTACGACCCATATCACGACCTACATAGTTTTGAATTAAAATTACGTGTAGTACGGTTGACGGTCGTCGAAGGAATGGTCTCCCTGGGAGACGCCTTGTCGCACGAAATCGCATCGCAGCAATTCGCATCGTAATTTTGTGTACGAGCCCTATATCCAAAGACATATTTTGAATTGAGTTCGGATGTATGAAAAACGACGAGATGTAAGTACCCTTGGCCAACTCATCCATTAAGTTAACATCAAGTGATAATGCTTTAGTCTTCTAGAAAAGCTTTCCAATCGATGTGGATGAATGCTTAAACTGGAGGAATTATTTTTAAGCGATTTCAAAAAGAAAAAAATAGAGTGTATGTACGTTTGTATGCGAATATTTTACGATCAGCTGAACAGATTTTCGACAGACTGTAAAAACAAAGGCAATTAAAGTCGGCTGTTTTAAACGTGGTTTATAAAAGAATTATTACTTAATTTTATACTTTATTATAAAGCTAAAGAGTTTGTTTGTTTGTCTGTTTATTTGAACATGCTTATATCAGGAACTACTGGTCTAATTAAAAATATTCCTTTTGTGTTGGATAGTCCATTTATTAAGGCAGGGCAATCAATAGGCGCCGAATAGAGAGGGTAAAACCGCGCAGTAAAACTAGGTAGTTCATGATATTTAGTCACACACCTACCTTTTACCTGCCCAATCTATTTTGTTTTTTTAATCTTAATCTTAATACACTTGTTTGTTTTTATAAAAAAAACCTATAAAAATAACAATGAATCATTAAAGTTGTTGGAAGTTGTGAGTAATTTAATGTATTTAACTAATGTTTTTACATCTGATGATCGACACAATATTTAGGTATACTTAATGTAATGACAGCATCATTTATTGATTAAAAGTTAAGATTGTGTTTATTTTTAATGTGATTAGGTTAATGTGGTATAACATAAATACGCCACTGACATTTTGATGCTTCAATCATTTCTAAGTGACATTACGCCCGCCATTTTTTCAACATCTTCGGGCTGAGCTCTGATTGAGATCGACCTTTCTGTGGATTAGGGTCTATTTTGGATTAGTAAATAAGGAATTTTAGATCATGAGGTCAGACATACTTTTGGAAATCAATAAAAACATTATTGAGCGATAAATAAAAATTCTGTAACATGATTTATGACCACTTTAATCTGATATCCATTCCCTGAAATGTCAGCATAATTATGATAAAAATTGTAAATTACTAAGATTATTTACACCTGGATGTGTCCAGTACAAACTGGATAGAACGAGTTTAACCAACTACATCAAAAGTCCCTTTTCATAATAATAGG